CACGTTCGGATGGGGTCCCTCACGTTCTGATGGGGTCCATCACGTTTATCACGTTCTGATCAAGGTCTGACACGTTTTTCACGTTCTGTCAAGGCTTTCTACGGATGAAACGTGGACGCCGGGCAGCTTTGGAGCACAGTTGTTCCCACGGTATAAAAAGAAGGCCTCCCAAGCAATAAAGTACAGCGTAGGATGCTGCTGGAGGAAATCGATGATGAGCTCCTTCTCATCCTCCGTAAGGGTGGTGACGACCCTGGGGCTGCCCTCCTCCTAGCTGGTGCGTCCTCCTCAGCCTCCCCAGCCTCCCCAGCCTCAGGTTCAGGTTCCAGTTCAGGGATCGGGACAACAGCAGCAGCATGCTCCTCTTCATTTGGCGGGGGTGAACGGTGAGGATCTTCAGGTTTTTCCTGCTCTACTACTGGTGGTGGTGATGGTGGTGGTGGTGCAGGACGGAGGGCCTTCGAACGTCTCGGCTTCTTCGGTGGCATAGCTTGGCCTTCTTTCTTCGTATTGTAGATGCAGTAATGTGTAGTCGATTGCTCAGACTCGAATGAAGCTCCTGCCGCGCCCGTCTCTTATATACTACCTCCCGACCGTGTGCGCCGTGTCAGAACGCAACGTGCCGCGCCCGTAAACCGTCAGACGCCGGGATGCGCCGTGAGTTAACGCGACAAACCGGCTACCATACACCCTGGCCTGCCGTGAGAACCGGGGCAAAACTTGGCAAAACGTGGCAAAACGGGACAAAAATGCGCAGCAACCGTGAAGCAACCTTGACAAAACGTGTGGCAGAACGTAACAAAACTTGAAAAGACCGTAAGATGCCGGGGAATGTGCGGGCTTCCCGTCCCCCTACGGACCACCTCCAAGTCTTGTTACGGCCTATTAAGGACTGTCACGTTGTGTTACGTTCACCCCGTTTTACCACGGCCTCCTAGGTTTCTCATCCGCACCGTGACTGCCGTGGCAATTTTTTTGACAGTTTAAAAATCTGACACGGTATCCACGGCAATCACGGTCTGTCACGTTCGCCCATACGGTCCCCCGCGTTTTGTCACGTCAATCCCGTTTCGTCCACGGTGGCCTGAAACGTGGTTGCCGTGGCCGCCGGGAACATAGTGTAAACGTATCATATGATATTTTAAGGAAACATTTGAAGGGAAAAGAGTTGGTTAAAGGCTTGAAAAAAGAGTGCTAGCAAAGGGGAACAAATGTTACCGAGCAATTTTCAATTTTGTTCCTCATATGAAAGGGAACAATTAAAGTTTTACATTAAAATGTATCTTTAAGCAACAAAGTTACAAGTGTGAAAATGAAAAAATAGGACTTCTCATGTGACTATTTTCTTTATAATCAAAATGATATTAATGCAGAAAAAATAGAGTGAAACCTGCTTTAGCAACCAACTGTACACTTAAAGACCACCTGTACATAAAGTCCTCATTTCATGTTTCCCTTGAATAGCGTTTGTCCTTGCATAGTAAAGGATCCCATACATAATGACCACTTGTATTGCCTTCTCTGTCTCCCTTGAGTGGTCATAATAGAGTGAAACCTGAACATACAAACTGTTCAAAGGACACGAGAAAAGTGGTCTATAATGGCAGATGGTCTTTACAGACAGTTTGCTTTAAGACAGGTTTCAATATGAATTAATTTAAAAGGGGAACACCACTTATGGTCTTTATAGGCATGTAGGCTTTCTATACAGCTTTGTATAGAGGTTTCACTCAATTGGAACATGCAAATTCTTGCTTCTACGACTACGGTATCTAGGCATAGAGGGCAGCACTGGGCATGCGTATATTTGGCACAGGTACGTCCGGTTCCCATACAAATACAAAGGGTCGGGAACGATAAAAATTATAGTTTCAAAACCAACAAACTACAAGTAACGGATGATGATGGTGCCTACATAGATCTCATCAAATCATCGGGGGAGGCCGGAATTAACCTTGTCTAATCGTCTTCCCCAGCATCGTATATGCGCATGTCCTGTGCAGTGTGGGAGGAAGATCGCCATATTTGCGGTAGGTTCAATTGTGTATTTCATACCTTAGTGTTGCTCATTTTGCCTTCACCATCACAAGTCACTGAAATGTCACCGGATTTAGTTTCGATAGAGATCGGAAAGGAGCGATGTGCATTGTGATATGACTTCTGCTTCTCTTCCGTTTGTACCTCCTATTTCATAGAAAAAGAAACAGAACACAGAATGTATCTCATTCATTAACCTTTTTAGGACAGGGATACCTAAGCAAACAGATCTCAAGCCAAAGCTGCACCGGTTCTCTGGAACTCACTTCCATCTTTTCTGAGGAAATTAGATTCCATACAGCAATTCAAAACACAGCTGAAAACATAAATATTTAACTCAAAGTGGACTTTTACTTCTTGTAGATTATCTGTTGAGCTATCTTTAACGTAACTCGTTTACTTATTACTGCTGTACCTTGATCTAAAGTTTTGGATATGTGTGCTAAACATGTTCGAAATTGTTCTTTAAGGGGAGCCTTCCAAAGTTGCGACTGTGCCCCGACGCGTCGGGGCGCAGAGCAGGATATGATAACAAAGGAGGCGCCTTTTTGCGCCCATTTGCGCCTTTTTGCATCGGCTACTAGAGGACTCCAGTTGGTTTCCAGCTCATTAAAATCTGGCTATTGTTTGGAGTCTCATTGTTACGAGATAAGCCCGCCTGGGCGCTTCCCGGCGAAGCACTTGACATTTGTGAATGGGAGCTTAAACTTTGAAAAGCTTTTGCGCCCTTTCGCGCCCGATCCGGCGCATTAGTTATTCATGTATAGTGCCCGCTTGTGTGTCCGTCTCGTCTTGCGAGATTTGACTCTGAAAAGATTTACTTTGGCTACTGATTTGTTCTAATATTATTTTACGTACATGACATTGGTTACAATTTTTGTTTTGATTGTTTATTTCCCTCTCGACATCGGAGTTCTGTAGGCGTTAACGTTGGCATGATTGTTCATTATTTCATCTCCTCCTGTTCTGTTCATGATTGTGTTAAATATCTCAATTTTAATACAAATTGATTTGTTCACGAAAAAGAAACAACTTATTTTATACTTACCCTACTCTCTCTGACATTGTTTTTCTCATGCATGCTTTGACATTTTATTGGTTTCATATTACATTAAATTTGTGTATATTTCCTTTTTATAGCGATGTTATCGCATGTTTCGGTTTTCTTGTTTTGTTTTCTTTAATTTTCGTTGTATCTTGTACAAAACAGTTCTGTCGTATGATCATTATAAATCATATAATTATATCATCAATCTGTTATATCAATACAGGTCCTTTAAATCTTCTTAATATTAGAGAACGTATTTCAAAATCCGTGATGTTGAAAATGATCGGGGATATCTCAAAACTCCCAGGGAGATTACCAATTGCAAATCAACAAAGTAAATTATGCCTAAATCGTAAGAATAGAGCATGCATTAAAAAGGAAGAATTAGTTTATCATTCTGTTCCAAAGAAACTTTATCGAATATTTCTTTGCGAAGAAGGGGGGGGGGGGGGGGTGAGGGGTTGCAGCCGCGGCCAGTTTTAGATCTAGGTCATTGCTGTGAAGAATTAAAATACGTATATATTGTGCTGAATTGGTGCCAAGTGGTATCGAAAAAGCGTAGTGCGTTCTAGAACAAAAACAGGCCATGGCAATTCGTGGAATTGCTTCTCGTAACATTGTTTATACAGAACTGCCTCGCTGTCTAAATAAGGATCCATCCGGGGGATCCATCATGCATGTGTTGGTATCAAGTAGTAGACGGAATTTATAATGATGCGTTATTTTGGGCCATTGATTTTTGTCGTATGATCATTATAAATCATCATGATAATTATATCATCAATCTGTTATTTCAATACATAAGTCCTTTAAATCTTCGTAGAATTAGAGAACGTATTTTAAATCCGTGATGTTGAAAAATGATACTTAATCAAGAACGTCGTATAGTTTCTCCTTGAAATTAATTTAAAGAGCATTTTATATGTCTTACGATTTTTTATATGCAAATGATATCCGTATTGTCGGGAACATCATCAATATGTCGGAAAGACGCTCATTTTCAGCATGTTGTTTCCTTGCAAAACACTAATGTTACGAACAAAATTAAATACACTGTACCCGTATCATCGGGGATATCGCAAAACTCCCAGGGAGATTACCAATTGCAAATCAACAAAGTAAATTATGCCTAAATCGTAAGAATAGAGCATGCGTTAAAAAAGAAGAGCGTCCCGCTGAAACCAGACCAGGTAATGATGTTTAAAATTTCACCTCGAACATCTCAAGAAGAAATTAGTTTATCATTCTGTTCCAAAGAAATTTTAGCGAATATTTCTTTGCGAAGAAGGGGGGGGGGGGTTGAGGGGTTGCAACCGCGGCCAGTTTTAGATCTAGGTTATTGTTGTGAAGAATTAAAATACGTATATATTGTGCTGAATTGGGGCCACGTGGTATCGAAAAAGTGAAGTGCGCTCTAGAACAAATACAGGCCAAGACAATTCGTTGAATTGCTTTTCGTAACATTGTTACAGAACTGTCTCGCTGTTTAAATAAGGATCCATGTGTTGGTATCAAGTAGAAGACGGAATTTATAATGATTGCATTATTTTGGGCTATTTTTTTTTTTTTGGGGGGGGGGGGGGGTTGCTAGCCCTTATTCTTCTTGTTCTACTGGGTCATCAAGAAACACAAATAGTGTTGAAATTTTAGAACTATTTTTTGGAACTATTACATGGGTTTGGAATTTTACCGGGAATTTTACAGGAATAGTTAAAGTTTATGAATGCAATTTCGACCAATCAGATGGCTGGATACCTTAAGTGAGGTATATAATAACCATTAATAAAACAGCATATTTGTTCTTCTATTTCTCAATTAGTTTCTGCTATAGTTATATGTAATATACGTAATATCTACAATCTACATGTATTTCGATAACTACGATAGGCCAACATTTGCTATTCTAACAATTGTTTCAGGCTATATCCAAAGTCTGAAAGCGACGTGTGTAGGAGCTAGATCGAGTCACATCCTGTGGAAGTTTCGTGAAGAGTAGGGTGTAAATCCGGATTTAGTGTGCTTGCAAATGGCTGCAATACACAACTGATAATCTTTATACAGATCTTAGAGACAGGCTGTATAGCCCTTTGAACATTACAAGAAGATGGAAGAACGATCACATGGGCAAAATGGGGTTGCCAATATAGGTCCCATGTGAATCTTCAGTGCTAACTTATATGGGGCCCATATAGGCATTCCCAAGAGGGGGCCATATTGGAACCCCCACCACGGCCTTTGATGCCCATATGGGATAGTGCACATTATGCCCACAGTTTTTCCACACCAGAGTGGCCCTGGGACGACCCCATAGGTGTCCACTACAAATCGTGGGTGCAATATCATATATGGGCAGACCCATGTGGGACCCATTTTGGAACCCAAGGTACATGTGACCCATATGAACATGCTCCCTGAGAAGAGATCTTAAGGGAGTGAGAGAGTATATCTAACTGACCATTTCTATGCCCGGGATATCGGCATTCAGGTGGAGATGAACATCAAACTCTTTGCCTCTTTCAATCTTGTCCGGTACGTATGGGGTACACATGAATTGAAGCTGAATGATCTGTTGCTCAAGAGGGATAAGAACCCACCACTCGCCACAGTGATCGATGTGCAGCTCAAGATGTCTCTCAAGGACCTTGCAGTACGGCAATTTGTCAGGTGCAGCAGATGACTTTGTCCTCGAAATTCTCGGTAAACCTATTATTAGAGCCACAATGTCAAATATTCTTTAATAAGCATTTGAGTAACATGAAGCTAGGTATAGCCCTATTATAAAAAAAGATTCCTGTTTGAAAGGATGAAGAATTTAAAGATAAAGTTGCAATTACATTGTGAAAGAAACTGTCTGAAAGCAACTGGAAAATGTAGTTTATGATGTTAATAAAATCTGATGTGCCTTGTGACGTTTTTCATTAATTTACATGAAAAGAAATTGACTCAGTTTTCCTTAAGATCACATGCACCACACACAGAAAAACACGGTACTAAACACAAGTGTTTGGACCAAACTTTATAGCTATTTATTACAATATTTTGAATAAGAAAGCATTTTAATAGCAATCCTTTTCAGGAAACATTTCTACTTAGGTATTGTTCCAAATGACTTGGTATAAAGACCAGTATCCCTTGGGTAACCATGAGGAAAAGAATGGTTTAAAGTACTGTAGTTTTGTATAAGAGAAGACTTCAATAATATTCGTTGAAAGATAGACCATTAATAAACCAAATAACCTACCCTCTTTTGCATCCCAAATATGTGAGACGATGTCTGGTATCACTTGCTCAGCGTTGGTGACCAAGGTGAAATGTGGTATCCTGATCTTAACAGGCTGGTGGAAGACCATATTTGGAGGGTCACATCTGATCCCGTAGGCTGCCATTGATGTGTCATCTTGGATGACAACATCAGGGAGGTTTTTCACAACGGTAATGGTGATCTTGCAAGATTTGTTCTGTTCGACAGCCCCAGGTGGGATAGCCATTGAAATACCATGTTGTTCCAGTTCGAGCTGTTTACCGTCACATCCAACCTGAGCAGAGACAGCGTTGACCACTGGTGGTGCCGACTCTTCGGCTGCAGATCAAAATTCATCAAAGAGAGAGGAAGAATGAGGAGCGTTTAAAGATAAAGTTGAGTACCTATCCAGTGAAAAAAAACTATCCCTAAGCAATGGTAATAGGTTGACTGTGTTTTACATAATAATCGATGTAGGTTTTGGAATGATCAAAATGAAAAGCAAATGACTCCATGTGGGTATGGGTTTATGGATCTGCACAATGCAAACACGTATGCGACCATCATTGTTGGTAAAACAGTTTAGAGCGTCAAGTAACGCCTGGCTGGAATGCTCCCCAGGAAGTGAAGATTGTGCACACGCTGTGTGCGGGAAAGTATTGAATCCAATGACCGGGGTATTAATATATCTGTAAAGCGCTTAGAGACATCATAGATGTATCAAGCGCTCTATAAAAGCGAAGTTATTATTGTTATGAAAGTTTGGTCCAACTTTTAAGGCATTTTTCGTCATATTTCAAATATAAGGACATTTGCAGAGCAATACCTTTCAAGGGACATCTCTACTATATCTGTTCCTCGAACATGAAATAAAAAGAACGAGAAAATTTCATTCTTTATCTTCACCAGAACTGAACCTTCTCTTACGTGGCTTCAAGATAAAATCAGCCTGAGAATTATGGACATTCAGTTGAACTAATAAAATTGATCACCATGTCAATCATTTCTCTTTCTTAAATATGACATTTGTCCTTCTGGAAGTAAATTTGGCAATTCCCCTAGAGTTTTTTTGTGCCGATCTGGCTGTAATAATGCACCCATATCAATACAAAATTGAAAAACTTGAGAATCATTTATTTATAATTTTTTGTTCATTTCTCTCTCTTAAATATGAAATTTGTCCTTCTGGAAGTAAATTTGGCAATTCCCCTAGAGTTTTCTCGTGCTGTTCTGGCTGTAATAATGCACCCATATCAATACAAAATTGAAAAACTTAAGAATAATTTATTTATCATTATTTGTTTATGAAAAAGTATGTTTTATTATGTATTTATCAGAGGTTGTTACCTCGATAAGCTCTGATGATGTCCATATCAGGAGACCTGAGAATATATGCAAATGAAAACAAAGAAAAAGCGATATTATAATATTGTTTCAACCTTCAGGATATATTTTCTCCATAGATCTTTTACCTATGGAAAAGTCCCACATTCTGCACTTCAGAATAGTCATTGCTAAAATAGTGGAGGGGCTTCATATATTACTCCTCTTTGTTTGCCCTCTCGAAGAAAATATCACCTGGGTCCTGCCTAGGTACAACAGGATATACTGTTGGTGCATAGATGATTAATGACCGCATACTTTTATGTACATATTTCCAGTGTTCATCTCAGTGTTTTTTGTTTTAAGTGTTACGATATCTACTAAATAGTTTATACAATCATCATGAATACTGACATTTAGAAATGGTCAGGACAAAATGGACATATGGAAAGTATGGAACAATAAACTTTCAATCGCATTTTTCCACACATTTTGTGCAAATAAAGGACTCAACTATCTAAAGAAAATAAGCAAGATAATTTCAAACAGACTTCAGCACAATTAATATTTCAACTTGCCAACAAATATCTGACTGAAACGTTAAATAAATTACCCAATAAAGTTACTGAACAATGGAGTATTACTCTTTGTATACTGGTGTTCATATTGGTTTAATTCAAGTTGGTCAATGTTTGTCCCAGGTGGAATTGCCCTATTTCATCTGAATAATCTAATTTCACAACCTCGTAACAACCGTATGTATAACTCGGCTGGAAACCCAAATCCAAATTTAAGAAAGCCACGCTAATCACTTTTTTTTTTTTTTTTTTTTTTAAATATTAATAACTGCATTGTATAAACTACTGTACAAGTCACAGTGAATCTGACTAAAGAGTTTACAGTATTTTCAACCAGTCCCTGGACTCTATAATGATTCTGCACTCTACAGTGCGCACTCCACTCCCTGGGGAGCATGTCAGCCATTCACACTTTTATTAATGGACGTGCAAGTCCTCATCTAATTACATTGATGTTCACATCCTAGCAGGTACACATTTACTACCTGGGTGGAGAGGAGCATTGTAGATAAAATGCCTTGCTCAAGGACATACTTGCCATGCAGAGGATCTCAAGAACCCACGACCTTTGGTATTCCAAGTCGAGTAATTACACCACTCAACTATGACATCATTTGTATATTTATTTCCGAATGCCCATGTTAATATAATGCTTCCCCACCTTGAGAATATCATCTGGCGAACGATTTCATCGTTGGCATAGTGGACTGGTAGGTTGCCTTGGTTATCCTTGATGTCCGGCTTTGCTCCGTTGTCCAAGAGATAGAAGACCAGGGCCTTTTTGGGAGACAATTCATTCTGATAGAACTCTTCTGAGATCTAGAAGAATTATCAATACATACGATTGTTTAACGGATTTATCCACAGATTCATAATTACGGGAAAATGGTTGTGTTTTTCTGATAGTTCGTTTATAGTTCGGAAAGTTAAATAGGAATCATTATCCAGAGGTTTATTAATCCGAAAATAGAATAAAGTTCGTAAATCCAAAGGGTTTGTAATTCCAAAAAGTGATACAGAATTGTTGTCGTTTTTTGCAATTATGAGCTCAATCTTATTTTCAGACTTTCAAATCCTCTTTAATTTTCATAATGATGAATCCTATTTCATTTTCAGAGATAAGACCTTTTTTTTGTGTAATGTTCTTTTAGAGACTCATTCATTGTTCAATGGCTATGCTAACTCATGTGTGAATGGTTTGATTCCAATTGCATAATTGTAAGTTAGCAATTCGGTTAGTGAAGGAAATTACTACATAGCAGGAGCAAGCGTCGTACAATCCCAGGGAAAGTTCATCATCTTACCTTTTGGAGTGCTGGTGTTGCTGCAACTTTGCTGTCCTTCCGACCAGAAAGTCTGATGGCTTCATGAAGACAGGTATGTCCGTCTATGGACTGCATGTTGAGATCGGCGCCATGAGAAACTAATGTCTCGATGATGGAGGTGTAGCCATTTTGCGTGGCTAAATGAACTGATGTGAAGCCTTTCTCAGCATGTTGTCCAACAACCTGTTAAAAAAAACAGCCTCAAGAATTAAGAAATCTACAAACAAAACAGCTTTTTATAAACCAGTTTCTTTTCTAGTTTTCCATATCTTTAATCACCAAATAGACTTACATATATATTATACACACATTTTTTTTCTCGAGGGATGAAAAATAAACAACCACAATACACAGGTGGCTTTCAAAGATAGGTTGCCACTAAGACAGGTTTGAATAACATGTAATTATTTACTGTTACAGGATAGGTTTTGAGAAGTCTTCGTGGAATCATTTCAACCTTTTTCATGATTTAGACAATCCATATACCTTCACAAGAAAGTTTTAACAGGATTATTAAGGCTACCAATTGGCTAACCCTTATCAGTTTATATTGATATTATTTTAATACTTGCAAGAATGTTGATGAAAAGTATGATATTTGTTTTCATATGAAATATATAGGAATACTAAATTCAATACCTTCTTCTCATCTTCTGTTAAACCCTCAGTATCTGCATGGCCATTTGGGGAAGAAGTGTGTTTCTGCCCTTCAGCACACCGCGTATCTGGACCTGTCCCATGCACTTGGTCTTGTTCTGCAGCAAGTTGCAACGCAGTTGGACCATGTTTACTCAGATTTACTTCAGCTCCGTGCTCCAATAGATATCTTGTGACAGCGGTATGTCCATTTGCGACAGACAAATGCAATGCAGATGATCCCTTCTGTGTAACCTTGCTAACATCTGCAAGTTGCTGAAGTAGACACTTCATGACATCGATGTGACCGTTCTGAGCAGCAATGTGCAAGGGAGTCCAACCATCATTGTCTGTAGCATCAAGTTCGGCTCCGTGGTTGAGCAAGCCTTGTGTGATATCGAGATGACCATTCTGCACTCCGACATGTAGGGCTGTAGAACCTTTCTCCTTGGTGGCTCCGTTGACCTCGGCTCCTCGCCTAAGCAAATGCTCGGTAACGTCACAATGGCCAATGAATGCAGCAACATGTAAAGGAGAGATACCATGAACATCCCCTCTAGCTACTTCAGCTCCTTGTCCAAGTAGATAATCTACAATATTGAGATGACCCATTTGCGCAGCAAAGTGAAGAGCAGTCCAGCCAACATTATTGCTTTCGTTCACATCAGCTCCTTGACTGGTTATAAACTGAACAACTGCAAGACAGCCACCTTCTGTAGCGTCTTGTAATGATGTGCGATCAACAGTTCTGCCTCCTTGACTTGCAAGAAGATCTTGAAGGTCAAAATCAGACCCTATAAGTGGCATACGCACAATAATCATCCCACCTTGAACTGTCTTATCCTCATCGCCATCTTGATAATTGCTTCCACCAAGATCACTTTCTGGGGCACCTCTAAAGACAGTGAGAGAATTAACGAGTCTGCTTACTACACGATCGACTCGACTGTGCACACATCGCACAACATCATAGTGACCATACTGTCCATCGAATTGTAAGATGACAGAGTCATGCACACTTCTCTTATTCAGTTCAGAGCCTTGGCTAAGCAGATACTTTGTAATGTCGATATGGCCAGCATGTAAGGCATGATGGAGAGTAGTGGTTCCATCTGCGTCGCAATTATCTGCCTCAACTCCATGACCGATTAGGAATTTGATGATATCTAAATGACCATCCATTGAGGCATAATCTAGGGCAGTAAATCCAAAGTCATTTCCTTTGTTCATATCGGCCCCTTCACTAATCAGATATTCCACGACATCCAAGTTTCCTTTCTTTGATGCACTATGCAAAGCACACCTACCAAAGTCATTGCTAGAATTCACATCAGCTCCTTGACTTAGCAAATATTTTGTCATATCAAGGTGTCCATTACTTGCTGCAATATGTAAGGCTGTCCAACCAAAAGAACCAGCTTTATCCAGCTCGGCTCCTTGACTGACTTGCTCTTTCATGTCATCAAGATCGCCTCTCTCTGCAGCGGAATGAAACTCCGTCCAATGAATTATATTTGCTTTGGCCAGCTCAGCTTGCTGACTAAGCAAAATAATTGAAACACGAACATGACCAGCAGCTGCGGCAAGGTATAAGGCTGACCATCCTTTGTCACTAGCCTTATCAACATCAGCTCCTTGACTAATCAATTCTTTGACGACGCCAATATGACCATTCTTTGAAGCTATATGTAATGCAGTCCATCCATTATAGTCAATATTATTCAACTCAGCACCTTGACTGATGAGATATTTGGTGACATCAGTACGACCATTCTTTGAAGCTAGATGTAATGCAGTACAACCACCATTTTGAACTTTATTCACCTCAGCTCCTTGACTGATGAGATATTTGATGATGTCAGGAAGGCCATTCTGTGCTGCCAAATGTAATGAGGTCCAACCGCTATTTTGAACTTTATTTACCTGGGCTCCTTGACTGATGAGATATTTGATGACGTCATGATGGCCATTCTGTGCTGCCAAATGTAATGATGTCCAACCGTCATTTTGAACTTCATTCACCTCAGCTTCTTGACTGATTAATTCTTTGACGACATCAAGATGATCATTCGCTGAAGCTTTATGTAATGCAGTCCATCCGTCCTTGTCAACTTTATTCACCTCAGCTCCTTGACTGATGAGATATTCGATGACGTCAGGATGGCCATTCTGTGCTGCCAAATGTAATGATGTCCAACCGTCCTTTTCAACTTTATTCACCTCAGCTCCTTGACTGATTACTTCTTTGACGACATCAAGATGATCATTCGCTGAAGCTTTATGTAATGCAGTCCATCCGCCCTTGTCAACTTTATTCACCTCAGCTCCTTGACTGATGAGATATTCGATGACGTCAGGATGGCCATTCTGTGCTGCCAAATGTAAAGAGGTCCAACCGTCCTTTTCAACTTTATTCACCTGGGCTCCTTGACTGATGAGATATTTGATGACATCATAATGACCATTCTGTGCTGCCAAATGTAATGAGGTCCAACCGTCCTTTTCAACTTTATTCACCTCAGCACCTTGACTGATTAGTTTTTGGATGAGGTCAAGTTGTCCATTCCGCACAGCACTGCTTAGTGCACTCTGCAAATCACCGGTGACAATACGGCCATCTTGTTTATTGCCATCCTTATTGTCTCTGTGGATCAGACTTTTGGCGTTGCCTTGAGACTGACCGAATTTTTGAAAAAATTCTTCCACATTCATAGTGAAAGCTAGGTGTCATTCTCCTGGCACTTAAAGTATTGTACAAGTTCTTGAATTTATCAAAATCTTTTAAGGCTGTTTTTAAATTTATCTACATGTTGTATCTTCTTATTGTTATGCCACATTCCTAGTGAAAGCTGGAAACTGACATCAGTTTATCACCAAGACACCTAGAAAAAATGAGTGGAGGTGCATATTTGTTAAAAGTTATGTCCAAAAAGTGTATGAGATTAGCCAGGCACGATCGATCTACGGCCAGAGAAAGATAGCCATTTTCAGAACGTTAGAGGGCACTATTCATATCATGCGTAATTGTTGGAGCGTGAAACTTGGTTAGGGTGTGTGCATCGATATGATTAAGATACTGTACAAATTTTGACAAAAATCGGAATTTGTATTAGAAAGTTATGGCAATTTGCGGTTTTTAAGAGTCAATAATTATAGTTCATTTCTATTTTAATTTCATATATGAAAGGCTAGGTTACCCGTCGCAGATGAAAGAAAATCCTTTGGACTATTAACAAAAATATGTAAGAAGTCTGTAGGATCTATGATAGTGGAGATACGAATGAATAAAGAAAGGCCTTAAAACGGACCAGGAAAAAACTAAATGACGCCTGGACGGTTACGCATGAGTGATTTTGTAAAACAAAGAGTCAGAAGGCCTGGACTGGATGCCGGAGATTACGACTACAAACTTTGAAAGGAATAGTGCTGAAGGAAGGAACCTACATAGGGATAAAAAGCACTGCGTGCAAAACAAATATAATTTTAGGGAAGAAGAAAAAACGCGTACCGAAAAAGGGTATCAACGAAAAGTCGTCTATGCAAAGAAGAATAAGAATAATTCAGAGCGCAAACGGAAACAAGACATTGATTATAATTCTTCAATGCAAAAAGAATTCAGAACGCGAACGAGAACAAGGCATTTACTGACATTCGTCCAAGCAACTAGAACTGCAATCGTATTGGAGCGATATTATGCATTGACAGGGACCTCCTAAAGTTTCTACGAAAGAGTTTCTCTTTGACTATTAAAAGGATTTTGTTAGAAGTCTGTAACATCTAGGATAGGTAGGCAGAAATAAAGGCCTCCAAAAAGGCCCGAAACGAACAAGATGGCGCATGGACTTTGGAAAAAGAAAAGTACAGTGAACTTGATGGGATGCTAGAGACTATGCCTATGAAATGAATCGAAATAGAGGAAGGGACCTAGGTAGGGCTCACATGCGCTGTGTGCAAATGGGATTTGGGTGAATGAAAACCCGTCAAGACGCGTACTGAGATAATCATGCAGGGTAAAAAATGGCGTCTAAAATTCCCCCTTGACATATTTTCAGAATCCGGCTTCGAGATTCCTTGTGTTTGGCCCCCTAAAATATGCTTGCAAAACTGCAAGGAAAACAATAACGAAAAAGGGGGCAAAAAAGTTTCTTCTTTTCTCTTGATAACATTTCAGCAAGAATTGACAGTTTGGGTAAACATCTTGGATGTAGTATAGCAATAAATTCTTGGCACATGACGTATTGCAAAATATAATCAAGATGATAAGGATCACAATAAAACCACTACTACTACTTTTACTTCTACACTACTGCCATTTATAATTATGCTGATGATGCAGATGATTGGAATGATATGACAATAATTATTATAACTATAATATCAACTAGACTTGAATTCGTCACCGACGAATTAGGTGATACGTATGCTAAATGTGTAACATAATGAAAAACGCATTTTCACGATTTCATCTTTCGTTATAAAATACTACTCCCATTATGGTCTATCCATGAGTCAAGTTTCAACTGTGTAGGGCAGAGGGAGACAGAGCAATAGAATAAGAGGGAGGCAAGGCAAGAGAGAGAGAGAGAGAGTGAGAGAGGGTGAAAGAGTAGAGAGAGAGATATAGATAGATGCAGAGACAGACCAAAAAAGGGAGAGGGGCAGAACATGAGAGGAGAAGGGAAACAGAGCAAAAGAAAGGAGAGAGAGAGATGCAATTGAGAACAATGCTTTCCATATGTATAGCATAAATAAGCTCTTGTGAATACTGATCTTGAAAGTGTTGCCAATAATATTTTTTAAAAAACGATTATGTTCATGAATACGTTGATGACGATATTAGAATGATGACCATGTTTGAAAGTGGCACAGCGCCCCTTTCAGGTTTTCGATAGAGGATTAAACTGTTTACTTATACTAAACAAGCTTAAAACACTTTTTTATAAATATTACAAAATGTAAATAGTGATTTATTTAGTCGTGATTTAATATATTATATGAGTAAGATATAACAAATTGTACCCATCCATAACCAAACATCTATGACGTTAAATCTAGAAACGATTGTTAGTATGCATGTCAGTGAATGGCCAAACGATAGAAATTGCCTCGAATTTTCTCGGATTAAATTGTTATACATATAAATGAGACAAGCTGAGATGATGCAGAGAGAAAGGGGAGAGAGTAGAGAAAGTGAGAGAGGCAGAGACAGAAGGAGACAGGTCAAGAGAGGAAGAGGGAAAGGGAAACAGTGAGAGGGTGAGGGTGAAAGTGTAAGAGATAGGGAGAGAACAAGAGAGATGCAGATGAGAGAGACCGAGAGAAGGAGAGAGGCAGAACAAGACTAAGTGAAGGGAGACAGAGCAAGAGAGAAAAGAGAGAGAGAGGGGGGGGGGGGGGGGGAGAGATGCAATTGAGAAAAATGCCTTCAATATTTCTAGCATAAATAGCTAAGCTCTTGAATTACGATCATGACAGTGTGCCGAAACTGCCGATGATGATATAATGATAATGTTCATGAATACGATAATGACGATATTGATGATGATGATTACCATGATTAAAAGTGGTATAGTACCCCCTTCAGGTATTCGATTGAGGATTGTTATATATGATAACTGACATGTAACCTATGATTGATTTTTTGACTATTATAACGTCAAGATAATGTTAAATAGTCAACATAAATCTTGTCTCAACTACAACATACTCAAACATCAACAAAATCCAAGCAGAAATTACGGCGATATCGCTCACAAAAGACAAGTATGCGGAATCCAGATTTGAGAAAAAGTCATCTCCCATAGGATTACACGCAAAACATAATGGATTAAGTGTAAATAGGATAATAATAAAGTAAATAGGGTTGTTAATATATTTGAGATTCTACGTGTTTTAATAATCAAAGGAGGTGGTACAGTGAAAGGTCAAAAAGAAAAAAAAAGTGAAGGAAAATATTGTTGGAGACGACCGGACTCGAACCAGTATCTCAAGATCGGAAGTCAAGTGCGTTACCGATATACCAAAACATTTCCCATAGCAATTACACGTAAACGGAAAATGGAATTCTCAAATCCCACTTTGAAAGTAAAATATTAGCATGATCCCGGCATCTGATCGAAAAAAGGGCATATTAGAGATAGCTTATTGTCTCAGCTACAACGTGCTCGAAGCTCAGCAAAAACAAAGCTAAGACAACAGAGATATTGCTCGCGAAAGACGAAAATGTAGAATCCAGTTTTGAGAAAAAGTCATGTCCCATAGACAATACACGCAAAATGTGAAAAATTGACATGCCTCCTTTAATCGCAAAAATACACCATGATACCTTTGTCAAACTGGACAATTGTGGGCACTGCATTTGTAGAAAATTGTCTCAGCTAGAACATATCAAAATTTAGAAGAACAGCAATCAATATTCACAAAATGCCATTACGCGCAAAAAACGCGCGCGCATGCGCGTGTGCGTGATTTGTTGTCAAATGCTTCATATGGTCTAAAACGTATGCAAAAAAATGTTAGGATGATATGGAGCATTTTAAATTTTTGCGTGCGCGTAAACGCGCGGACGAACGCACACGCACGCATTTGCGCACGTTTATTGACCTGAAATTGACCGGACGGATATTGATCTTAATCTTGATAATTATGAATGAGAAATATCTTTCCGTTATGAAAATATGATCATAAGTTGATTTTCACAAAATAGCGCCTGGATGACGTCAAGATGACGTTGAGTCTATGAAAAGTCACGCAGTTCTAAGTTAGACTAAGATCTATCATCATGGCAAGTTTCATGATAATGGCTTTATTCAGTCTTGAGATAACCTGCGAACAAATTCGAGGAAGAATCAATAAATAATAACTAGACTTGAATTCGTCACTTTGACGTATTAGGTGATACGTATGCTATTGGTTTACATAACGAAGAATGCATTACACGATATCATATTATTTTATAAAATGCTTCTCCCATTATGATCTATCCATATGTCAAGTTTAAATTGTGTCCCCTTCATCATTATGAATCTAAGGAAGATAGATTGAGACAATATATGACCATTGACCATGTGCCGTAACCTGCTGGTATAGTCCTGTAAAAAAAAATGAGATGGACAGAGATATAAAAAGAGGGATCTGAATGCATGTACTTGGAGGGAGAGAGGATAGTAATCAAACCTGGTAGGTGTGAAATAACAATACAAAGGGCAAAGGGAAATGCTAGAGAAAATTAAAGAGCATCCGAAGACACAATAAGAGGCAGAATAAAAGCCAGAAGCGGGAATGTAGAGAAAGAGAGATGTAGAGACAGAGCAAGAGAAGGAGAGCGGGCAGAACAAAAGAGGCGGGAAAGGGGGAGAGTAGCGAAAGAGAGATACAAAGACAGAGTAAGAGAATAAGAGGGAGGCAAGGCAAGAGAGAGAGAGAGAGAGAGGGGGAGAGGGTGAAAGAGTAGAGAGAGAGAGAGAGAGATATATATGCAGAGACAGACCAAGAAAGGGAGAGGGGCAGAACATGAAAGGAGAAGGAAAACAGGTGCAATTGAGAACAATGCCTTCCATATTCTAACACATGCTACGTTTACACTATATTCCCGGCGGCCACGGCAACCACGTTTCAGGTCACCGTGGACGAAACGGGATTAGGCAATTTTCGCAAACTCATTGCGGAATTAGAATCTATCTTTGTATCGAGGGCGGTCTGTGTGCGACGGCCGTAAATCTGAGTGCTCTGCGTCCGCGAAGGTCTGTATGTTGCTGAGCGAAAACTCGCTATTGACGTGACACAACGCGGGGGACCGTATGGGCAAACGTGACAGGCCGTGATTGCCGTGGATACCGTGTCAGATTTGTAAACTGTCAAAAAAATTGCCACGGCAGTCACGGTGCGGATGAGAAACCTAGTAGGCCGTAATAAACCGGGGTGAACGTAACAAAACGTGACAGTCCGTAATAGGCCGTAACAAAACTTGGGGGTGGTCCGTAGTGGGACGGTTTAAGCGCCCGGCACGCTACGGCGCGTTGCGTTCTACTACGGTCTGACACAACGCGAGGTCTCAGAATACCATGATTGCTATTGCTTGGGAAATCTTCTTTTTATACCGCCGGCACAAACGTGCTCCAAAGCTGCCGTGCGTCTACGTTTCATCCGTACAAAGCCTTGACAGAACGTAAAAAACGTGTCAGACCTTGATCAGAACGTGAGAAACGTGAGGGACCCATCAGAACGTGACGGGCCGGAAGGGAATGTACTGGCATCCGTGGTAGACCGGGGCCGAATCGTAGTGCACCTTGGAGCCTCCGGGACTCAACAGCCCCTTTCCCCGCACGACCCGTCACGAATACCATGTAAGACCGTGAGAAAACTTGACAAGACCTAACAAAACTTGAACACAGAGAGAAATATTGCCCAAATCCAACGGCACACTACGTTTCGGTCAAACGGGACTGCCGTGGCCATCGGGAACATAGTGTAAACGTAGCATAACATTTAAACATGTTGTTTATTCAAATAGCATTGTAGAGACGATGAACAAATAAGAATACTAATAATACATCGTCGTTGATCATGAGAATTTTCTAGTCTATCTATCTCTCTTTGCTAGATGTCAAGACATGACATTATTTTTTCCCGTATTTGTTACGCGGCAGAATAATTACCCTTTTTTTTTTTTTACCTGAACTGAGACTATCAGCACTTTCGCTACAGCGCAAAACAAGACCATACGAAGGTACTTCAACCATGTTGGTTGATCCTAGTTTTTTCTTCATTTATATGCAAAAACTGAAGGATTCACACGATTGTTGAATGTGCTTTACAGCGCCACAACTATTAAAGGGAAGCTAATTCAAGTTCACGCCTCCTGTGTGGTTATTATAACAACGTGGAAGTTTAGACACGGTCTTATAACATTCTTCAACAATCAGGCTGTATAACTATCAACTGAAGACGACTGACATGAAGACTCTAAAGCTGGTGAGGAGAAATCTGAAGGGACAATTGACGAGGACATTAACATCCATTGTCAATCTCTCCGATGAATCTGCAGACCTTAGTCTTCTAAAGCAGTACATCAGCAAGGCTGAAGAACAGTTTGTAAAGGTGGAAGGGAAGCATGCAGAGCTTGTACAGGTCATAGAGAATGACGAGGAATTTGAGGCTGAGGAAGTCTGGATGACCAACTGCGAGACAGACTTTGTCCAGAAGTTAAATGCTGGTGGGAGAGTTCTCAGCAAGCAGTTGTCGCCACCATCAGTACAGCAGACATCCGAGCAACAGCAGAACGTGACACTCCCAAGCTCTCCTCTCCGCACCTCCTTTCAGAATCAATCTGCAGGTGCCTGTGCCCCTAGGATGGCGAGACTGAAACTACCATCATTTAATGGTGACATCAAAGATTACCGGAGATACAAGGAAATGTTCCAACACTGCACAAGGGAATTGTCAGAAATTGAATGTTTTTCCAGTTAGCGGAGTCAATGGTGTCTCAAAGGGAGAGAAACTTGTTCAAAAGCTGTTCAAGAGTAGCGAGGGCATGGGAGATGCTGGATGAACGCTTTGATGACAAGGACCGAGTGGTGGACAGTTTGCTACAAGATTTGGATGGTCTCAAGCCATACGAATATAAAGGAAAGGTGAATCTTCCAGCAATGGCGCGATTCATCCAGGTACTTCAGAACTTTGAGTGCCAGGCAGAGACCATCGGCCTGGCTGGGGAGCTCAACAGCAGAATCATGCTTAGCCAAATAAAACTAAAACTCCCGGAGGAACACAGAATGGACTACTACAAAAGTGTTCGGGATGAGAATGCTGATGACTCCATTTCAGGATTAAGCAAATGGCTGTTTCGGCAGCAAATTCTTATGGAGAAATCCAAATCCAGCATCGCAGATAGTATTGAGCCAAAGAGAGTTTCAGAGTCCTTGACTGCAGCCGTGTCTTGGGACTCCAGGGAGGCTCCTTCATACGCTCGTGATATCCCAAAATGTCCTCTACATCCTAAGAACTCCTCTCATTACCTGAAGAACTGCAACAAGTTCAAAGCCCTAACACTCAAGGAGAAGTATGAAGTCATGAAAGCAAATGGTGTATGTTTCCGTTGTGGTCATAACAACTGTATTGCAGGGAAACCACCTTATAACCACAGCTCCTGCCAGTTCATTTTCCGTGCCGTGTTCAGTCATGTGGTAGTGACGAGCACTTTCCCGCCATCTGTCCCAAAGCCCGTGGTGATGCCAGATATGAGGATCAGAGAAGTGTCCATGCTAACCAAGCAGACTTTGTGAGGCCCGCTCAGTCTAACAGTGCCGTACATGTTCCTGCAATCAACCATGTAGGGAAACTGCAAGCTACCTTACCTACCGTGATGGGATATCTACGATGTGGCAGCAAACGACACCTAGTACGCATTCTGTTGGATGGAGGCAGTCAGGCCACACTCGTGAGAACAGGAATCTTTCCCAGAATGGAGGGTGATCTTTTCCAGGATCAAGACCTTAGCCTTGTTGGCGGCAGTAATATCAAGCGGAAGCTGAGAGTCCTTGATTGTGAGATTAAGGATTTACAAAGGAGTTGGTCTTATCCGTTGACAGCTACTGAGATAGATAAGCCATGCGGGAATACACCTGTCATTTTCCCTGAGCATCTACAGTCCTATGACCACTTGACAGGTGTAGAAATAGATGTGGCCCCATCACCAGTCATTGATCTGCTGCTTGGAGTGGACAATACTCACCTTATGGTATGGGAACAGTACATCAGGGGAAGCAGACCAGATGAGCCAGTTGCGGTTAAATGTCCTCTAGGTTGGTTTGTTCAAGGAGGCCCATCAGCTAATGCAGCACCACTCCTCAACTACGTCAGTGTAGCTGCTTCAGGATCCCTGGAGGAGTTCATTGGACTCGAGACAGCTGGTTTGGAGCCCAGGAAATGTAAATGCTTCTCTGATGACGAGAAAGGAACTGAATCCATGCAGAAGAGTGTTACTCAACTACCAGATGGCTCTTATGAGGTTCGCTTACCCTGGAAGCGATCTCCGGAAGAACTACCAGACAACTATGACTACGCAGTTAAAAGGCAGAAAAGCCTGGAGAACCAGTTCCGAGACCGGTCTAATGAGTGGGAGGTCTATTGCCGGCAAATGAGAGACCAATTGGAAAGGGGTGTCTCCCGGCAGGTTACACAGGATGAGTTGCAACAAGACAGGGATGTAGGCAGAAGGATGTGGTTTCTTCCCCACTTTGGGGTTGTTAAAGACTCAAAAACAACTCCAGTCCGGGTAGTTTACGATGGTAAGGCGAAGTTCCAAGGGCGTTCCCTGAATGACTGTCTCATCAAAGAAGAGAATGTTAACTCGAACCTTTTCGAGGTAGCCCTCCGGTTCCGTGAAAATGAAGTGGGCATGATCGCAGACATATCCAATATGTTCCAGGCTATAAAGATTTCACCAGAGGATGCTCGGTTCCACAGGTTCGTTTTCAGAGAGAATCCAAACCATCCCATACAAGTCTTTGAGCTTACAACAGTCACTTTCGGGGATAAACCCTCTCCAACCGCAGCAATCATCAGCCTCAGACATGTGGCTCGTGAGCATGCACCAGATGATGACAAGATACAGAGAGTAATCGTCGAGCAATTCTATATGAACGACCTGAACGAGTCAGTTAGTAATGCTGAGGAAGCTCTAGAGTTGAAGTCCAAGCTGACGGAGACATTGAAGAAAGGAAACTTCAACTTAAGGAAGTGGCAGTCTAATGTTAAGAAGGTCTGTGATGAGACAGAAAACACAGACACTGCTACAGTCCTAGGTACCAGCTGGGATCTATCTAAGGACACACTGAGAGTGAAGAAGGTCAAACCCTCCGAGGATACTACCCTCACCAAGCGGAAGATTCTTGCTCAAACGGCATCCTATTACGATGTTTTTGGAATGCTTTCCGGACTGTTGGTACGCCCCAAGATTCTTCTTCAAAGGTTGTGGCAGTTGGACCTTGACTGGGACTCCCCTCTTGACCAAGGCAGTGAGCTATACTCCATGATGAGTAAGATCAACAGAGACCTTAATGAGATGGACGGCATTGAGATCCCAAGATGTTTGATATCAGAGCCTTATAGGGGAACGAGACCCCTACCCATAGTGTCCATGCATGGTGTCAGTGATGCTTCAGAGGACGCCATGGGTTTTGCAGTGTGGCTGAGATGGTCACATGCTGACAGCCAAGAAGCTCATCTATCCTTCGTCTGTGCCAGATCTAGAGTGACACCTCCGAAACAGACAAGCATGCCTCGGAAGGAGCTACAAGCTCTTCTCCTTCTATCCAGATGGATGATCACCATCAGAGATGCTCTACGCTTCAGCATAGTCGGATGGATGTGGACAGACAGCATGACAGCGATTAGTTGGCTTAGAGGGCAGTCTAAGACCTTCCGATCTTACGTCGCTCATAGAGTCGGTGAGATCACATCTGAATTTGACCCCTACAGGGATATCGCCTACGTTCCGTCGGATCAAAATACTGTTGATCTCATTTCCAGAGGAGGCGTTGTTACAGACATGCAGGAGGTCATCAAAGGCCCAAAGTACTTGAGACTACCTCCTCATTCTTGGCCGAGGACACTAGAAAATGTTTCTTTCAAACCGGGAGATCCTGAACGGAAGATGTTTCACTGTCGAAACACCAAGATCCTCTCAGTAACTATGAATGCTGTGTCCAAGAATTCCCCGATTGTTGATGCTACCAAGTTCTCCAGCTGGTCAAAGCTACATATGGTCACAGCGAGGGTGTAATCCCTCAAGGAACTTCCCCGGAATCAACGGCTGAAGCAATTCCTCCGGCAGATCTCTGAATGGCCATCCCAAAGAATGATCAAAGAGGCAGAACTGTATTGGGTCAGACAAGCTCAGAAGGAGATAAACTTCCAAGATTCCAATATACAGAAGCTGGACCCATTCTTCGATGAGGACTGTGAAGTGTACCGTGTTGGTGGACGTCTAGGTAGAGCACCGCTGTCGTATGACATTCGCCATCCATATCTTCTTCCGAAGAAGAGTCATATCAGCTTCCTCCTGGTATGCGATAGACATCTACATGCCCTTCATGGTGGTCATTTGCGGACAGCAAATGAGGTTCGGAAGAAGTTCTGGGTAGTGGGGGACATGAACATTGCACGACGTGTTGTACGCTGTTGCATCACTTGCAGACGGCATAGAGGCAAACCGACGCACCAGAGAATGGCTGATTTACAGGAGTTTCGGGTCAGCCCATGTTCGCCACCCTTCAAGACCACCTTGGTGGACTACCTAGGCCCAGTAATGGTGAAACTGAATCGTAATACCACGACCAAGGGATATGGTGCCTTATTCACATGTGCGGTTACCAGGGCTGTCCACCTGACAGTAGTCCAAGACCTATCAACTCAGGCATTCCTTCAAGCTTTGGAAAGGTTTGTCAGTATTAGAGGAGCACCAGCCATGATGGTTAGTGACAATGCTACTTGTTTCCGAGGGGCTGACAACACGATCAATGAGCTGAACATTAAGCCGAACCAAACGCAGGTCCGGGAGCACTGTCAACGTTATAAGGTTGAGTGGAAGTTCGGACCACCGGGAGGACCCCACCACCAAGGGGCAGTTGAGCGCATGGTCCAAGAAGTAAAGAAAGCTACGAGGCAACTTGTGAAGGTTGACCGTCTTACCTTCGTAGAATGTGAGACTGTTTTCTGCAAGATTTCAGGGCTCATTAACAGCCGTCCCCTGACTGCGATGTCATCGTCGCCTCTCGATCATCCACCGCTGACTCCCAATCACTTTCTCATTGGGAGAGGAGATCTGAACTGCCCTGATATTCCTTGTGAGGACTACAAGGGAGATCTACGGAAACGTCGTGAACTGTGTAATACAATGGTGGAGGGTTTTTGGCGTAGATGGATGGAGTATACCCACAAGTTGGCACCACGTCAGAAGTGGCAACGATCTTCAGACAACGTGGAAGAGAACGATATCGTCCTCGTCATCGGTGATGACAGAAAGCGCGGGTCGTGGAAGATGGCCGAGGTAGTCAGGACTCAGCGTGGACAGGATGGCCTTGTTAGAGTCGTCGAAGTGAAATACGCAGATGGGACGCGTGCCACCAGGCCGGTTACAAAACTTGTATCCCTGATGAAGTGAGATGAACGTTTAGACATTTAAAGGTTCAAGAACTGTTGATCACTGGACATTTGAACAGCTTGAAGAAAAACTGCTATTAATGGGCAATTTATAGAGGATAGTGATTTCATTGTATTTCTCTTTGATCTTATAAGTGTTCCATTTAGTCTTAAATCATGTTAGATTGTATTTTTTGTGACATTCCGTCACGCTTAGGGGGTTGGGATGTCAAGGCATGACCTTTTTTTACCCGTATTTGTTACGTGGCAGAATAATTACCCTTTTTACCTGAACTGAGACTTTCAGCCCTTTCGCTACAGCGCAAAACAAGACCGTACGAAGGTACTTCAACCATGTTGGTTGATCCTAGTTTTTTCTTCATTTATATAAGGATTCACACGATTGTTGAATGTGCTTTACAGCGCCACAACTATTAAAGGGAAGCTAATTCAAGTTCACGCCTCCTGTGTGGTTATTATAACAACGTGGAAGTTTAGACACGGTCTTTTAACACTAATTAATACGAACAGTCAAATAAACCGACGTGAAATCAAGTTATTACTTGTTTTCGTTTCCTGTTCTATATTCGCATACAATTCAAAAGCACATATAAACACATCTAGGTGGCAAAGTTGAGGTTTACATAATAAAAACAAAATTAAAAACATTAATTTATACAAACCAAATGAGTGACACCGTCGGGGAAAGAAGCAAAAATACTAGTGATAGTTTTGCAACTAGATAAAAAAATGCAATTAAACAAATAAATGCGATCTCGTTTAAAACAATCATCCCCATTCCTCATGTCCCAGTACAACTTGATTTAACTTTGACGAAAGTTGATGCGAAATAATGAAATTGATTGAACAAAGTTTTTTTTTAAAATGAATGCCAAAAGACGGAATTGACTATGAGATGTGCAAGATTAGGAAGTTCCGGGACGAAATCAAATGAAAACAAGTATGTTATCTCCTTAAAAGTTGTTAAAGGATGGGAACACCTAAATATACAAGGTTGTTTCGTGAGAATACTTCCCTCTCCCTCTTTGGTAAATCATCCGAACACAAGTTAGGAACATTTTGTTTTTACTTCCCTTCATTATGAAGATTAAAGAGAATATTGATAATATTATATTTAAAAACAATATCAAAAGATATTTACCAGCTTCTGAATATCCAAACAACATTCTAGCGCATAGTGGTATATTGGTGAGGACTTTCGACTCTCATACAAAAGGTTCGTTCCTTATGAGAGCTACTGTTTATATCCTTGGGCAAGGTGTTTTGGCCACATATTCCCTCTCGACAACCAAATTGTTGTAGCAAAGATGGAGTAATAACAATTGCAGGGCCCGCATGAACAGCAGTATCAATAATAATGTGGTTATTACCCTGGCTACATGATATCCGTCCAAATCGTCACAGTCATGTGATAACAATTTTTCATACTGTTTCTGCTCATTTATTTTTGCAAGGCGAGAGTCGGGAACAATAATAGGGACTAAACAATAGCGCATATACAGATGTATCAAACCCTATATATACAGAATCATTATCATTACATCGTGTTTTTCATGTGATATTGACACATCCTAGGTTTTACTATAAGGAAAGTAAATACTGTTAAAGTAAATATAAAATCTAGTTTCTTGTCGTAAAAAAATGAAATGGATAACCGAGAACATTTGTTCTTTTAAACGTTCTCTACTTGAGATAATTATACAAAGTTGTGTTATCTGTAGTTCAACTGTGGCCGCGGCAACGAAATTAAAATTCCTCCTTTATTGAAAAATCAACAAATCATCTTTCTTGAATATACAATATTCAGAAAATAGTATCAATTCTTCAAAATTCATAAAAGATTTTGTGAAATGTCATGCACGCAATATATATAAAAACAAATCATATAACCTGGGCAAAGGCATGGTGAAATCAAGTTTTGTGTGGACTTGGACTTTAATACTGTTGGAACTAGACTATAGGTTTTAGTCTAGATCTAACGCTAAAGTGTAGGCTAAGTAAGTCAGGCGCGGATCCAGGATTTCTTAGGGGTGGGGGCCCAAATTTGAAATCAATTTGAAATTTAGTGTGCTGAAATTTGAAAATCGTGCCGGCCAATTTTTCGCTCAGTGGGGGGGGGGGGGGGGGGGGGGGGTGTTATTACATTTGTGGGTAAAGTGTTATAACATTTGTGGGCGTTATTACATTTGTGGGCATTATTACATTTGTGGGTGTAACACCCCCATTTGTGGTTGATTCAAAATTATTACATTTGTGGGTAAAGTGTTATTACATTTGTGGGCGTTATTACATTTGTGGGTAAAGTGTTATAACATTTGTGGGCGTTATTACATTTGTGGGCATTATTACATTTGTGGGTGTAACACCCCCATTTGTGGTTGATTCAAAATTATTACATTTGTGGGTAAAGTGTTATTACATTTGTGGGCGTTATTACATTTGTGGTTGTAACAGGGGGGGGGGGGGGTGGTAGTGAGCACTCATTTTTTTTGTTGGCCCTCGGAAATTTGAAAAATCGCATCCTCCCCCTTGAATGCCCCCCCTTACACGTCCCCCTCCCCTGGATCCGCCACTCGGTCCAGGGGGCGGAGCTCAGGTGTTTTATACATCAAATTATCGTCGGATGAGCATAATTTTATACCTTATTTGTGACACTGGCAGGTCACGAATTGGCGTTAGGTCCAGGGGGCGAAGCCCCAAGAAGCTCAGGGGTTTTATATATTAAATTATCTTCAGATGATCATATTTCATACCTTATTTGTGACACTGGCAGGACACAAATTGTTGTTGGGTCCAGGGGGTGGAGCCCCCAGAAGCTCAGGGGTTTTATACATTAAATTATCGTCAGATGAGCATATTTTACACCTTATTTGTGACACTGGCGGGTCACAAATTTACATGGGTTCCAGGGGGCGGAGCCCCCAGAAGCTCAGGGTTTTGGGCAATAAAAAACGGTCGGATGAGAAAATTTTGATACCTTATTTGTGACACTGGCAGGACACAAATTGGTGTTGGGTCCAGGGGGCGGAGCCCCAAGAAGCTCAGAGATTTTATACATAAAGTAATCGTCAGATGATCATATTTTTTAACCTTATTTGTGACACTGGCAGGTCACGAATTGGCGTGGGGTCCAGGAGGCGGAGCCCCCGGAGGTCCAGGGGTGTTAAGCAATAGATAACGGTCAGATGAGCATCCAGGGGCCCGCCTTAGGGCCATTAGTTGGGTTCGGGGGCAGAGCCCCGGAAGCTCAGGGCTTTAAGTGACTCTCACACTCTGCCGTGTAGGCCTACCGTGTGCCACCGTGCGCGAAAATGTCTGCGGACGGTAGAGAACGGCGAGGGCACACGGTGGTTCGTTATCAAAGCGGGCAACACGTTAATAGGGCGTTGGCGCTTATTTACACCCGGTGGGACCCGGCGAAAGTTTTGGGCATGTTCAAAACTTTGGCCGGCTGGCACCGGCCGCAAGTAAGCGGCAAGAGGACGGTGCTGAACGGTATGAGGACGGTATGAATACGTTATGAAAACGGTCACACTGTATGAACACGTTCACAACACGCTCATAACCCGTTACAGAACGGTGATGAACGGGCAAAAAAATCGGGGTATTTATGGCAGTCGTGTCATGACGTCAGCAGTCCGGGGACTCGCTCACAGGACGCTCCGAGCGGTGAGGGGACGCTAAGTGACTGGTAGGTGGCTGCTACAAACCCGGTGCACACGTTCGAGACCCGATATGGGCCCGGTATGGAAACGGCCAAAATTTTCAACAAAAGTCAATCTGGGCGGTGAAGACGGTAGAAGCACGTTCAACACCCGGTATGCGCCCGGTGAGAACGGTCAGAAGATGGCAACGAAACGGTGAAAAGATTAATTTTACGATTTTTTTTTTTGCGGCCGGGGACAAGTTCGCTCAAAACCCAACGTTCTGGACTCTGTTGTTTTTTAATAGCCCGGCAGGTGGACGGTAGGCCTAGACGGCAGAGTGTGAGAGCTCCATAAGGCATTTAATTTCTTCACATGAGCATAATTATACCTTATTTGTGACACTGGCAGGTAACTAATTGGCGTGGGGTCCAGGGGGCGGAGCCCCCAGAAGCTTAGGGGTTTTAGGAATTTTATAACGGTCAGACAAGCATGTAGGGGCCCGCTTTAGCGCCCTTGGTGGGGTCGAGGGGGTGGAGGCCCAGAAACTTAGGGGTTGTAGGCATATAATTACGGTCAGATGAACATATTTTGAATTGTGACACTGGCAGGACACTAATTGGCGTGAGGTCCAGGGGGCCGAGACCCCAGAAGCTCAGGGGTTTTAAGCATTAAATAACCCTCAGATTAGCATCCAACCATCCGCTTAAGGGCCCTAGGTGGGGAAAACGTAGAATCAGAAGACCTTGACTATATGAAAGACATTAATATGCCTAAGAAGTTTGAAAGGAATTACACTTGGGGAAGGGATTTGGATTAGAATTTCAAGAACGGCGTGCAGAACGAATGAGATTTTGTGGAAGAAGAAAAATAAGAATTCAGTACGCGAACGAGAACAAGGCATCGTCGAAGACGTCATATTATGAATATTAATGATAATAATAACTAATAATAATTAATGCTAATCATAATGATAAAATATATTAATGATATAACAATAATGATTATCATTATATCAAATAATACATATAATACTCGAAAGTACAATAAGTCCTATAAATTACTCAGCAAGGCCACAGTACAGATATAGCTTTCCTTCACAACCCGACGAGATGGACAAAGCGCTGGTGTGTATAAAAAATACATCGTGTGTGTGTGTGTGTGTGTGTGTAAGTGTATTTGAGTTAGTCGACCAAAAGGTTAGAGCGCCATCTTCGGTGACAGACTTTTATAGACAGAGTTTCAAAGATTATATACGCTTTTTTATTAAATAAGAAAGTAGAAAAATCATATGCAGAACGACATTTAGAACAGACTTATAATATTCATGGAAAAGATATACAATTAATATTTTTAA